TCATCATCATCAGCAGCAGCATCATCATCATCGTCGTAGTCATCGTCATCGTCATCCGCATGAGCATCATCACCACCATCATCAGCATCATCATCATTACCACCATCCGCATCATCATCATCAGCATCATCATCATCATAAAGATCATCAGCATCATCATCAGCAGCAGCATCATCATCATAATCATCATCGTCAGCATCATCAGCATCATTATCAGCAGCATCAACATCATCAGCATCGTCATCATCATCATCATCAGCATCATCAGCAGCATCATCATCATCAGCATCATCATCACCACAGCCATCGTCATCGTCATCATCATCATCATCTTCAGCAGCAGCTGTCTCATCATCATCATCATCATCATCGTCATTATCATCATCAGTATCATCATCATCAACATCATCAGCAGCAGCATCAGCAGAAGCATCATCATCGTCATCATCAGTATCATCATGATGACCTTTATCATCACCACCACCACCATCATCATCATCATCATCACAAGACTCATCAGCATCAGCATCCTCATCATCGTCATCATCATGAGAATCATCATCATTATCAGCATCATCAGCATCATCATCATCATCAACATCATCAGCAGCATCATCATCAGCATCCTCATCATCATCATCATGATCGTCATCATCATCATCAGAAGCACCACATCCTCATCCTCGTCATCATCATCATCATCATTATCGTCATCCTCATCATCATCATCATCAGCAGCATTTGCATCATCATCATAAGCATCATCATCCTTCTCCTCCTCGTCCTCCTCCTCTCCCTGCTCCTCCTCCACCACCTCCTCCTCTTCAACCTCCTCCTCCTCGTCCGCCTCCTCCCATCTTCCTCTACCTCCTCCGCCTCCTCCTCCCCATCATCCTTCTCCTCCTCCTCATCATCATCATCATCAGCAACATCAGCATCCTCATCCTCATCCTCATCATCATCATCATCCTCCTCCTCCTCCTCCTCCTCCTCCTCCTCCTCCTCCTCCTCCTCATCATCATCATCATCATCATCATCCATCATCATCATCATCCATCATCATCATCATCATCATCATCATCATCACATCATCCACCACACACCACCACCACCACCACACCACATCCTCTCATCATCATCATCATCATCATCATCACACATCATCATCATCATCATCATCATCATCATCATCATCATCATCATCATCATCATCATCATCATCTTCCTTTTTCCCCTCCTCCTCCTCTTCATCCTCCTCCTCCTCATCATCATGAGGCGGGAGCCGATGTTGTTAAACTGGGGGCCAGGGGCACAGTCTGGTGACACCTCACCTTCCCTTGTGAAAAACCGGGTGCGAGCCCTGGGAGATGCACCGGAATCGAAAACACACAGCGGCTCGACCGGAGGGGGGATCCGCAGTAGGCATTATTCAGAAGTGCGATTTCGACAACAAAACTCGTCACGGAACTGCTCATCATCATCATCATCATCATCATCATCATCATCATCATCATCATCATCATCATCATCAGCGCAGCAGCATCTATCATCATCATCATTCATCTCCATCATCAGCATCATTTCATCATCATCATCATCATCATCATCATCATCATCATCATCATCATCATCATCATCACATCATCTCATCATCATCATCATCAACATCATTCATCATCATCATCATCATCATCATCATCATCATCATCATCATCATCATCATCATCATCATCATCATCATCATCATCATCATCATCATCATCATCATCATCATCTTCCTTTTTCCCCTCCTCCTCCTCTTCATCCTCCTCCTCCTCCTCATCATCATGAGGCGGGAGCCGATGTTGTTAAACTGGGGGCCAGGGGCACAGTCTGGTGACACGTCACCTTCCCTTGTGAAAAACCGGGTGCGAGCCCTGGGAGATGCACCGGAATCGAAAAAACACAGCGGCTCGACCGGAGGGGGGATCCGCAGTAAGCATTATTCAGAAGTGCGATTTCGACAACAAAACTCGTCACGGAACTGCACATCATCATCATCATCATCATCATCATCATCATCATCATCGTCATCATCATCATCATCATCATCATCATCATCATCATCATCATCATCATCATCATCATCATCATCATCATCATCATCATCCGTGTTCCCCTCCTCCTCCTCTTCATCCTCAACAGCAAAACTCGCCACGGAACTCAACAACAAGACTCGTCACGGAGCTGCTCACGACGCGACGAGGAGGGCCGCGTCTTTGAGCCGCGGGCGCCCACCGTGCCGATGCGCACCTTGCCCTCGGCGGGCGGCGCGTGCAGGAGCCACGCCAGCAGGGCCGCCGCGAGGCGCATGGCAGCGGCGCGTGTTCCGCCGCGCTGGGGCGCCAGGTCGGTCAGCTCGGGCGGCGGGCCGCTGCGGCTGTCTGGAGCCAAAATGGCTGCTCGGGAGGCGCTCGCGTCGTGGAAGAAAAGTCGCGGCGGGCGGCCCCTCTGGGCCAAGGTCGGCCTCTGGGCCCCGTCAGACAGCCACTCGCCATGGACAGCTGGTCCTCGGGGAGGGCGGGGCCGGGACGACCGGGGGCCCCGCATCGGGGAAGCACGAGGGCCTCGCCTGTCGGGGGGCGCCTCGTGGTGAATGCGGCGCGCGTGGGGGGCACGGAGCCCCCGTCGTCGGGCAGGGGCCCACCTGGAGCCAGCTGGGCCCATGCCTCCGGGAGCCCTGAGCCTAAAGACGCTGACATCTCCTCCCGAGGGGCGCATCGTTCGCCTCCGCCGGCCGACCGCCGGCCTTCCACCGAGGGAGCGGCCCCCGCGCTGCCTCTGCTGGCTTGCGCCAGCCTTCCGCCGGTTTCCGCCGAGGAAGAGAGGATCGACTTCTCGGCTCCTCCAAGGCTGGGCCCTTCCTGGAACGCCGCACGCGTGGCAGGGTCACGCCGTGACGAGGCTGGCTCCTGGACACCGCGTGGATCATTCCGCCGTGAACGATCACGACTTTCCGACAGCGCGGATCGCCCCAGGTCGGCGGCGTAAACGCCCGCGTTGAGGTCGCAACGTCGTCAGCACGGAACCGCCAGCAAGGGCGTTCAACGCTGAAGGCCATGTGAAGACTGAGCCACCCTGTGACCCTGGCGTTTCAATTTTTTCCATCCAGGCGTTTTCGTCAGGGTTCGGACCCCGCTACCCTCGCAGGTCGATGCGGCACGAACGCTGCCGCAGGAAGATGGGGTCTAGGGCTCCGTCCGTGATTTATATTGGGATATTTCACACATGCTTCGCGCCAGCGGAACTTAGGGCAGGCCAACGCTGGAACGCACAAGGACATACTAGTGCTATGTGTCCTTGGAGGCGCGCGTCCAGCACATCCTGGCACATCGTCCCCCGAGTGGCACAGCTGGAAAGCGCCCGCCACGGAGCTGCTGCTGGAAGACTTCTCGGCGCGCGCGCCGCCCCTGGAAGGGCGACGCACACAGAGCTGATGGGCCTGTTTTCCACCACCACCACCATCAGTTGGAGGGTGGAAGGAGGAGGACGAGGAGGAGGACGAAGAGGAGGAGGAGGAGGAGGAGGACGAGCAGGAGGAAGAGAAGGACCTCTTCTCCTCCTCCAACTTATGGTAGTGGTGGTGGAAAACAGGCCCAGGAAGAGCACTAGCACGTCGAGGTGGCGCCGAAACCTGCGCAACCTCGCCAACCGCTCCACATGGAAGGACCCGCGCGGCGTCGGAAGCCAGCGCCCGCGCCGAGCCGACAGGCGCCGGCCGCCTGCTGGGTGGGTGACGACACCGGACTACCTACCAGACCACCCCAACCCAACCCGAAGACCCCAATTTCGGGTTGGGGGGGTACGGGTTCCATGTGTGTTTTTTCAGCGTTCCCCACCCCCCCAACTGGAAATGGAGGGCAAATTGAGGCCTTCGGGTTGGGTTGGGGTGGTTTGGTGGGGGGTTGAACACCCGAGCCCGACACCCGCCGACCATCGATTCTCCACCTGGACCGGTGGGAGTCGTCGCCTTCCTCCGCGCTCTCTCTCCCTCCGGCTCCAGCTCCGCAGCGTTCCCGGCCGCGCTGGCGCGCCCACGTCCGCCCGACGCTGGCCAGCCCGACGCGAGTGCGTGAGCCCCCCGGACGCCACCAGGGGGCCGTTCCCAAAACTGGGAGGGAGGGAAGAGGCGACCATGCTCTGAAAACGCTCGAGGACTACGAAGAAGGAAAAGAAGGGGAGGTGGTTGACCGACCCGGCCCCTCAGCCGAAGCAGTTGTACCTACTCGCGACGTAGTACCCTGCCGGCGGCGGAATAGTCGGAGCACCTTGGCTGCAACGCTGGAGACGTAGTAAAGCAACGTATATCCGCAGCGCTGTGGTGCAGCTTTTGCACGAAACAGCGGCATCGGCATACCAGCCGGGCGTTTCATGTAGCAGTATCGTACACGATTGGCAGTTCGAAAACATGGAAGCAAGCGCTGTGGTGCAGCACTTGCACGAAACAGCGGCATCGGCATACCAGCCCGGCGGTTCATGTAGCAGTATCGTAAACGATTGGCAGTTCGAAAACCTGGAAGCAAGGTTCCGTGGTATCCATCCCCGGCCTAGCTCCTCCCCTCGGCAGGCTCCCCGCGCGCCCGCCTGGCATCGCCGCACAGCACATGTGGAGGTCCGCGCTAAAAGGGGGGGGATCGGCCAACGGCGTCGCAGCACTCGCGTGTAGTCGGGCTGCCGTCCTGGCCCAACAGGTCGATGAAGTATGTCGAGCCCCCCGCGAACGCAGGTTGGTAACGTAGCTTCTGTTCATTTGGTAGCCCGTGGCTGCCGTAGTCCATGTAATGTACTTTGATATGCGAATAGTGATCTTGGGGCAGGTCAAACTGCTGTCCGTATAGCTCGGCGACGACGGCCTGCTCGAAGATGCCGATGGCGTGCGCGCCGCAAAAAACATCCGAGGTAATGCAGTCGCCCTTGCAGGGGGGGGGCCCTGGCACGTTGTAGGAGAAGCGCACCGCAGATTCCCACGGGTGTGTTTCTACAACCATGCAGTTTCGGGGCGCCTACCAGTACTCGCCTCGAATCGGTGGAGGTGCTTCCCGATCTTCTTGTTGATAACCTTGGCGACGTCCTGTATCACGTTGTTCCAATATGACAGGTCCCGTAAACATACCCTTGCTTCCGCCAGTAGTTGCCGCTGCTCGCTGGCATCGTCGCTCGGCCCTTGGCAACTCACGGTGAACATGTTGTCTGGCAGCTGCAGACTGATAATATGTAGCCCGTTGCTCGAGCCAGCAGCTGCAGTAACAGATGATGACGTAGACTGCTTCTTCGCACGACTATCCCAGAGAAGTCAGCGATGGCTTCGTCGGCAGGCAAGTAGGCGGACGAATGAAAGCATTGCCGATAGAACACGTCGTAGAACTGGCGACCTTGCGTTTGTTGCTGGGCGTCTCGGGAAATGCAATCCTGGCCAGGTCTGAATACTGCGCACAACCGCGCGCAGCACGCCACGGAAGGAAAGAAGAATAGGAAGCGCGCTCGGGCGGACCCCTAGGGTCAGGGAGCAGGAAGGCCTGGCACGCGGCGAGCACGCAGCACGCACAGCCTAGAGCGGCGCACGCGGCAGCGGCCTGGGAGCGCACCGCTGGCACGACGCAACGCCTGGAACAGATATGACCTCATCTGAATCGCCGGCGGCCTCGTCCGCGTCGAACTGTCGGACTTTAGTTAGTACCCGGGTCCACTTGTTGCCGCAGCCCACGTTGGCGTCGTAGATACCCGCCTCCATGCAAGGCGCCCTTCATGTAGCAGTTTACCACCTCGTCGCAGTAGTACTCTTGCGTCACCGCCATCGCTGGTAGTGGCGTTGCTGGCAGACTTGTAGCTAGTAGCCAGGTGCCCCTCGCAGCTACCGAGCCAGACAGCTGCGCATACGCAGAGGCGCGCGTGGCAGGCACCAGTTCACTGCAGGGCAAATACTTCGCGCACGTGCCCCGCGGCGGCCCCGTTGCACTCTCGGTAGCTCAAAGTGCTGGGCAGGCCGTTTGGGCAGGGCAGACGATGGCGATGACGTTGCGCTGTTCGGGCGGCACTCCAGGACTGTCTGTAGGGCCCCTCGCCTAGAAACTTACATGGCATGCTCAGCCGTCGCCGTTCCCTGCGCATCGACGGCGCCAGCAATAGGCGCACGGCTTCCTGCAGATGTTGGCGCAGGTGTCGCCATCAACAAAGGCGCGGGGCAGTCCGGTGTCAAGACTCTGGACGTACCCTCTGCTTCTTGTTGCGAATTGAACTGTCGCCGGGTGCTTCCGCGGGCGCGCAGGGCTCGCCCTTGATTGTCACACTGGAAATTCAAGGCAGGTAGCTCCACATTCTCGCGTTCGGCACTGCGTCCTGCGACGGCGAGCTTTATACTGAGTCGTTGACCCAGGCGCGCGTAGAACATGTCGAATTGTTTCTGGACGCACGCTGGGGCCACGACTGGTCGTAGTATTCCTTCCCATGGGTCCGTGGAGAGACGAATGGAATTCGCACAGCCAAAATGGGCACTCTATTAGTTGCGCTGCAATGACATGACCTTCGGTGCGGTCGTAGCCCCGCGCGGTAACGCGGCCTCGTCGATGATTGCAACGTCCTAGATTTCCGACTTGGCTCAGTAGCGTGTCAGCGCATGATAAGCGCACGCAGAGCATCGTCGTCGGCTTCCTGCCGCGGCTGTCAAACATGCATTGGTCGAAGCTGATAGTGTTAGCCTTGACGCATGTAAAGAGAGCGTTAACGCGCATCATGCTCTCTAGGTGGGGGTTGCGGGGTGCTCGATTGCAACGGGAATGTTTGGTAGCGGTCGTGGTCCATCATCCTTTCGATGCTGGCAAGTCTTCCACCGGGCGCCACTCCAAGTTTCGCACGGTGGTCCTGCATGTACTCCCGCGACCAATCCTGTTCTCAGGATGGCGAGCCAGTATGCCTTAGCTCCAGGCTGCTGAATGTTGCCCCAGTTCACGCTGGCGGCCAGGTTCAGTTTGGTGACTATTACTGGATATTTGCCGTCGCTCTCAACGCAGCGTTAGATGTCGAGTTCCCTGTGGCGGCTAAGGAAGAAGTGAAGTAGAAATAAACCTCCCGCTGCGGGATGCTGGCACTGCTGTCGGCAACGTCTACCGTGTCCTCTTCTACTTGCACTGCTTGCGGCTGGGGTGGTAGCGGCTTGTCGTCGACCCGTTATTTTGTCAGGCGGCGTCAGTGGCTCATACTGTCATCGCTGAAGGCTGGTATTTTGGGCTTGGCCTCGCGGCAGCCGCACCGTCGGTGCGCGGCTCCATTTCCTCGATCTTGATCGTCCAATCTTGCACTCGGGCGAGTGGGGGCAGCCCAGGGCAGCGCCTGCTCAGGCACGCACACTTACGCCCCCTACGCGTCAGGTTGTCTCATCAAAAGTCGCGGTCGCGCGTGACAGTTCATCTCCAATGCTCTGCGCAGCCCATCTCGCAAGTAGTTTCGAACACGGTTCGGCCCCGGGCGGCACTTGTCAACGCGCATTGCCCATGCGCCCTTTGGCGCGAACACATGTGGACATCGTGGGCATGCGGACCTGAATCCTGCAGTAGGTAACGGCGCGTGCTCAAGCGGCGGCTCCACCCGAGTGATCCGAGTCGCGGGTGGCACTGCGCGCGCCATGCGAAGTGCTTGATGTGCTCTTTTGTCCCTTACGCGGCAGCC